GCGCCTTTTTCCTCCCAAATTTATAATTACAAAAAATAAAATTATAAATTAACATTATAAAATAATTAATAATAATCTACAAACAAGAAAAACTAAAAATCAACCTCAAATCCTTGGCGAACAACGATTCACATGAATACACATTATATTGTTTCACATTTCTTTGACAAAGTGACTTTTATCATTCTCTTAAACATAAACATTGATCTGGCATTTTTGACATCACTCTCCAGATTGTTCCAGTCTTATTCCTTGTATCAAAGTACACCGCTCCCTCGAAATCTAATGTATTATATGACATAGCTAAATCCCTCAAATTTACAAGAGTAGATATCTGGTGCACTACATTTTCCATCCATCCATCCATCCATCCATCCATCCATCCATCCATCCATCCATCCATCCATCCATCATACCTAGAGACAATTTAAAGTTACCAGTTAACCTAACAGTCATGTTTTTGGTCTGTGGGAGGAAGCTGGAGTACCCGGAGAGAACCCAGGCATGCACAGAGAGAACATGCAAACTCTACCCAGAAAGGTCACCAGGCCGGGATTTGATCCAGTGACCTTCTTGCTGCGAGACATCAGCCACCTAGGAAAAAACACACTTTTCAACAAATAGACAYAATGTGACAAGAACTGTCTAAAACCCTGCAGGTCATGTTCAGCTGTTTGGGTTACACGTACATACAAAACACTGTAAATGTTGAAATCAGATCAAAGTTTCCTAAAGACAACAAGAGAGTTGCAGCTGTGGATTTAACAAGTTCATTTCTATTGTGTTAGAGCAAATGTTGTCTTTTAATAGAGAGTGGGGGGTTATATTGAATGGATGAAATTATTGTGAGGGTCACACYCTGGTCCACACATTTTCTTCATGGCTGTTTGGAGTTGCATGAAGTCAGAGACAGAAGCTTAATGTTAGCCGATTTATCCAATCAGAAACCAGTTCTGGTGTTTTAGAACCCTAGTTGATTTGAGGTGATGTTGAAGCAGCACCACATGATGCTACCAACACCAAGTTTCAATCAGTGGTGCTCACTCTGGCTTCTCCAAACATAATTCTTCTCATACCATTGTAGATATGTAACTCAACTGCTCTTTATAACTGGTAAGTTATGTTTAAACAACATGCCAAAATTGTTTCTTGTGTGTAGTAGTTTTCATGACTTGGCTTCTTTTTGTTCGAATAATTAAAGCTTTAAGGAAAAGTTCCTTTGAACAGTCAGTTTTTTCCTCCAAGGAGCTTATGCATTAAAAACTTACAGGTTAAAAATTTGTAAAATAATTGTTTTTCATTCAATTGCTCCTTTCTGCAGGGGCCACCAGATCAAGCAAACAAACATAAAAGATTTACCAGTTGTATTCTGTTATTTAAACTGAATGAATCACCCTGATTGAATCTGGATTCAAACCCACAGCCTCAGGACTACGATAGTGTGATGCTAACCGCCAAGCTACTGAAGCCTCAAATCTTTCCAACAGTGGCTGCTAATTAATCAAATTACACCATCATACCTGGAATATTGGTTGGTTTATTTTGTTTTATTTATTACACCAAAGCTGCAAACTCATGTAATAAGAAAATATCCAATAACACGACACAGCAGATCAGATTGTAGCCAATAATTTATTTTTTAAATATGGTTCGTATGCATATGATCGCGTCTGGGGAACATTTGAAAGAGGAGGGGGAAGAACAAACACAACAATGTAAATATTTTTTAAAAAAGGATGGTCGACACAGAGATGAAACGACTGGACCTGCAGCTCTGAGAGGCTGCAGGGTTTAACAAAGTGCTTTAAATTCAGAGTAAAGGGATGAGCAGCTGGGCCACATTTCACTCCACATGCAAGTGCATAGGACTGTGAGTGCTCAGATGTGCAGCTTTACACCAAGGAAGTGCTTAAAAACAAACAAAACTGAACCGACAGACAACCGCTGCAGCATGTAGTGTTGGATTTTCAGCTCACATCACTGATGGAGCTCATCATTAATGTCTGAAGCACAAACCAGCTGAAGGCTAAATTCACATTTCAGCAGAGCAGATAGGATGGATCAGTTTGCATAGGTTTATGATGCCTGCAGCCTCCTGTCTCACTGACCCTGCCTGAAAACATGACTCAGGCTTTTCAAGCCCGTTAGGATCAGGTGTCTACAGGTGAGGAGACGCCGTCAGCAGCCAGTCTGACCTACGTTTCTCTGGAAAGGTGTGCTTCTCAAGCTGTCTGATAAAATACGAACACATATATGATCCACTCATTTAGACTTACATTTCCAGATTGTGTCTTTTAAAATACCTCTTTGTCTTTTGATGACTGCAAATCCTGCCTGAGAATCAATGAATATTCAGGTATTCTGTTCAGATTTTAAGAATGAGGTTTTAAGCACATTTACAAGTAAATTACACTGCACATTTGGCATTAATAAAAAGACAGCTCAACCAACCATGTTCATATTGTTGTTTTACTTTATGTTTACAGGCTTGAAGACGGGAAGCTCCAAATATAAGAGAAAATCTTGTCAACACAGACCTCACAATTTTAAAATTGTCTTGATTCTTGTATTTCTGAATCCCTTTTGGGTATCTCTGTTTGTTTGCAGAAACCTGTCAGAGGACAGGGCTGAGGAGGCAGCTGAAATCGGTTGTTTTATCCACAGAATTCATTCACTTAGTGCAGAAAGAGGGGTTTTCATGGCTTTAATCTCGTGTAGTCTAAAATCTTGGTGAACATGCACGCACCAATTCTTATGAACATTTTTATATTACAGTGGACAAGTATGTTATGACCCAACAGTATAACATAGTTATAAAGCAGCTTCTTATGCTCTACGGTGAGTCTCGATTCACAGGAACACTTGTGACGTGTTAAAGATATTTAGTGTTGAATAAAATAGACATCTAATTATAGAAAAGTAGCAGATGTGTTGAAATAACCCCTGATATCTGAATGAAACTAGACAGAAGTGTGGAGCTCACCTACAGATAAGATAACGACTGAGAACTTGAACTAAAACCTGGATTTATATTTTTATCCTTTAGTGTCCTGCAGAAGTTTGCTCCCAGGAATCACGGCTGGTTTGACACCCTTGAGCTGTGAGTAGAATATAGTTTTAGGTTAAAACACCAACATTATGGTCAGTAAGCTCTAAAAAAAGATCTCCTTAATGTTACGTCTCTTCTCCTGCAGAGCATGTTCACAGTCAGTTGCAGATAATCTGATTAACAGAACAGTGAGGGTCTGACCATCACAACGTCACATATCGGAGATGCTGAGGAATAAAGTGAATGCTGCCCGATCCACCGAGGGGGTCTCCTGGGTCAATAAATGTCAGGACAGTCGGTGTAATTCCTGTCAAAGTATCCGCCTGTGTACAGCCAATCCTCAGCCCCCGTGTGAGGGTTTGTTCTCAGCTCAAACCACCTGAGGAGACAAAATAAACAAGAGCAGCTTTTAATTACAACATAACAGCCAGGTGAGAGCACAAATTACAGAACTACAGTAAATACAATTACTGAGATCATCAGGTGATCTAAAGATGGTCGACTTCCTCTGGTCAACCAATCCATTAAAGCCACACAGAGCTGACAGTGGGCCTCTGAAAGTGTGTGTTGAGTTTTAAAGTGTGTCTTAAAAAACTTAATTTTATCAGTTTATTCAAATGTTTACTTGCAACGCAGTACATCATGTATCCAGTGGTGGGGACGATTCTGCTAATCTGCTAACAGCTAATAGCACAGGTAACTGTTTGTTTAGAGCAGGGCTATTCAACTGGTGGCCCGCGGGCCGGAGTTTGGCCCACCAATAGCCTATATGCCACGGTCATTAATGACGTATTTCTGGTAAAATTCAGGCCACCCACATCCCTTCCACTTCCTGGTTACTGCCTTTATTTTTAGCATTAGCTCCTTGAAGTAGTCCGTGAAAAAGTCACAAAAGTTAAAGCATCTGTGAGCTACTGGTATAAAACGTGAGCTCTGTTGTGTGCAGTCGTGTCCAGCAGGTACGATAGAGTCGTTAGTTTTTCTCCATTTTCCTCAAGTTGTTGAGGWGGAAAGATGACAGCTGTGGATCATAGCATTACAGGGAAAACTCAGCTATAAAATGTCATGCTCGCATTTGTAATCGGCATTTCTAACGTGAGGATATTCAAGAGCCAATGTCAGAAATGAGAAGATGGAGGTTACAAAAGGGAAATGTACATTTATCCCCTTCACTGTCAAGACCAGGAGAGGAAAAAMCAGCTCACAGCTAGGAGAAAGCTAACACAGCAGCCGGTACAAAGGTGTGTGTGTGTGTGTGTGTGTGTGTGTGTGTGTGTGTGTGTAGCATCTTTAGAATTTTGTGCCTCCACCTGCRTTACAACAGTCAGCTTTATCCACTCATATCCTTGTAATATGGTCAGAAAGGTTTATTTTGGCTGGGAAAAATGCCCCAAAGCACTGTGGGAGATGTAGTTGCTCAGTTCATACGGTTTTATCCAGGTGGATTTATGATTCTGAGGCATCACATCAAAGGTAAGATGGATTTTCTGATTCTGTTTTTCAAACTCCAGACATAACTCTGGTTTTATTTGCTTGTGGTTCAGTGAATACGGGTGTGATTGTGATGAAACTTTTGGAATCAGTGAGATCTCTGCTTTCAGAAAACCTGTTGCCATTTTGTGCAGTTTGTTTACGTGCCGAGTGAATGCTTTTGTTTTAAGTTGTGTTTGATGGACGTAGAAATACTTTCAATGAGCTTTAAGCCGAGATTCTTACATTTCTGTAGACAGCACACTTTTTTTTTTCCTTTCTGCTCTCTCAATTTTCCCTTTTTTATCCTGTTTTGCTGCTTTCGGAGTCTGTTTTCCATATCTTCCAAATTGGAAGTTATGGATCTGGTCAGCTGGTCTCTCAGTGCTACTGATTAAATTTTCTCCATGGCGAGATTAGGGAAAGGACAGCCCTCTTGTCCTGATGGGACATATGCTGCAGTGCATGTTATGGATTCCTGGGGGAAGTGGAAGATAATGTGCCTGTCTGTACTGTCGTTCGAAGACGTTGATGTCTAAACATCTTGTAACAAGACTACAACACATCTACCAATAAAATGAAGCGGATGAGATTAATCATTTAATGTAACAGATTTCTATATTTAATAAAATAAAGGTCAAAGTATGAATTCCTGTGTTAACATGTTATGTTGGCTCATCAGCACTGACCTGGTTGTCCACTTCTCTTCATCTCTGGAGCGTTCTCTGCGTGCAGCTCTCTGTTTCTCCTCTAACCTCTCTTTCTCTGCACTCGCTAAATCTGAACAAACAAAAGCAAACAGATAAACCCATAAGACAGGTCAGAGAGGAACTAACGTGGCTCCAGATAATAAAAAGCTCGGTCTGAGTTTTTGTGCATCTGTTGTTACCTATGTCTCCGTTCTCCATGGCTCTGATGTCGGGCCTCAGTCGGCAGTCTGTCGGCGCCAGGCGCCTCTCCATGCTGGGCTCCAGCTCGTTTAGTGTCACCGCAAAGCTGGTGAAGTTATACATCTGCCAAAGGGACAAACAGGACAAAATACAAGAAACTTTCAGGAAAAACAAGGACCAACAAAAGAGTGAATTGTCAGGCTGATAAATCAGTCCATTTAAGATTCAACTAAAAGATTTGTCCAGCACCACACATTTATGCTGGGTTCAGACCGAGCACGTTGTGAGCATCAGGTTTACATACAAGTCTATGGTGGACGAGCATCTCTAGGGGCCTCACGGCACGTCTAGCACACTTAGTGCGGCATGTTTTGAAGCGGTAGGTTTGAGCGTTTGACGTGTGTGCGTCCAAAKCAGCCGACGCGGGAGTTGAAAAATCTGAACTTTTGCTGCTCGACACGCCGCGTCAACCAATCAGARTCTCTGCTCTGTGAYGTAGTTGCACATTTTATGATGGGACGGTTTCCTGAATGTTTCCSACTAACCTGAGACAGATGGACAGAAGCTCTTTAGCTGAAATYGAGTGCCTGTAKTMGGTGTCCTGCCAGGAGATATCAGCACCGATGTGGGTCAGCGGYTCATCAAACTGAGCTCGGGACAAAAATTGTTCTGGGGTCAGATTTATAAAGGATTGCGTGGAAACCATACTAAAAATAAACGTACGGCCAAAAGACKAATATGGGGTACGCCAAAAAAAATTTCCCTCTTTTTGCAAGTTTACAGATGTTTAGAGTAATCTAATTATTTATTTCAAAAACTCAGCTTCAACTTAATTTTC